GGTGCTTCCAGAAAAGCAATTAAAACAAAAGTGCACTTTAAACCAAATATTAAAACATTCAAATGATCCCACATATTACACAACAGTAAATATTAAAACAGTTAAAAACATTTACCACTAGAATAATTAAAATGCCTAGGTAAATACATGTAGTTTAAACCCCCACCTAAACTGTTTAATCTGCCTTTGATCATAGAAAGGTGATGAAAAAGTTGTGCAAAGAAATTCATTAGCTGAGCTCGGACTTGGAACCCAGCCCCAAAGACCCAGGGCTGCAGCCCTACCAGTTACCTTTTGCCAAATCTTCTGAGGACTGCCAATTCTTTAAAGGGTTTTGTAAATACATACAGTAAACATGGAGAGAGAAGTTGGGAACTTTGGCCTTACAAACTCAAGGCTGCTGAGAGTGAAGACCTTCGGGTCTTGCTATCATTGCTAAATTACCTTGCTGATTACTGTATTAAGGAAAACAAACTACCATGTTTTCCTGAAAATAAGATCCAACCAGAAAATAAACTCTAGTCTGATTTTTAGCGTGCTCCTAAAATAAGCCCTAGCCCCCAAAATAAGCCCCAGTTAAGATCATCATCAGCCCTGGGAGGGTGGGCGTAGTCAGCATCGGAGACGGTGAGCGTGTGGGAGCTGATGGTATCTGGTAGCAGCCGCAGCCTGTGCAGCGCAGATAAGTCTGAGTGCTACAATCATAGGCCGGCCCTCCAGCAGAGGCGTGGGGGGGGAGGTAGGTGATCTTGACACGCTGCATGGCTGCCTGTTCCGTCACAGCCACAGGCAAGCCGAGAAATGATGGGAAGAGTGGGTGGCTGGCTTGGACAGGTAATCAACTCACCTGTGCTGCATGGCCTGTTGGCCTCCACATATTTGCCACTTCTTGTGTGCAAACTGGGCTGGGGGCACCAGGCCAGGCTGATCACCCTGATACTGTGTTTCCCTGAAAATAGGCCCTAATGAGTCCTTTGGAGCAAACATAAATAAATAAGACTGGGTCTAATTTTCAGGGAAACAAGGTAATTTAACCACAGATATTTTCTTGTTTCTATTTAACATAAATTATGAAGCTATTCTAATGCCAGGATAAACACATTTAATATTGGGGGAGAAAGGCTGCCTGTATGTTTTGTCAAATCTTAGTTCTTTCTCAAAGACATGATATATTTAGCAGAGGTTAAGGTGGCACAGTGGTTAGAATGCAGTATTGCAGGGTAATTCTGCTGACTGCTAGCAGTTCAGCAGTTCGAGTCTTACCGGGTCAGCCTTCCATCCTTCCAAGGTCGGTAAAATGAGGACCCAGATTGTTGAAGGCAATGTGCTGACTTTTGTAAACTTCTCAGATAGGGCTGTAAAGAACTGTGAAGCGGTATATAAGTCTAAGTGTTGTTGCTATTCTCCAATTCTTCATTCTTCCCAGTAGCAATGAAAATAGTTCCCTTTCTTTTAAACTGTATGTTTCTACTCCATTGCCCATTCTACCTACTGGTAATCTCAGTGTTTAATTGCAATACTTACAATAATAATAAATTATTGTTGATGCTGCTATTATTTCAAAGCAGATCCTGTATATACTATTGATTGATTATATGATATTAAGAGTGTGAATAGTAATAAATACTATTGATAAGAATGCATCAGCTTCCAAAGTGGGCCAGACAGGAAACCCGACAAGCTAGTTAATCTGATTTTATTATAAGGCTACATTAACTTTCTATTACTAGAGAGGCATTTCTTGATTGGTTAAAAAAAAGTCAGTAAAATTGAACAAATGTATACATTCTTTGCCTAAATAGTGGCCTTAATTATTTAAATGCAAAGGTACTAATTCATTTGAATGTATATAGGGGTTTATAGTTATCAGTTGGCTGATGTGTTCACTATCAAAGATTGGTTTGCACAATCTTTCTCATAAATCATAATGGACCTTGGTGAGCTACCCTGATTCAGTACAGCCTTCAGTTAGACTTCAAGCTATTACATAGTTTGTCCTTATGTATTTGAAGCTATGCAGATTTTATAGGAAGGGTTCAAATACTGTAAATGACAAAGGGCTACTAAAAAGGGTGAACATGTAATAATAGCATGAATGATTAGCTCCTTGAAATATATTATGAAAATAGGCAATATTTGTCTGTATGATGGATTTTGGAGCAGCTCTAATGGTTTTGGAATGAATAATTAAAAACAGCTACTGTATTTAACAATATTGGCTCAAATCCCCCATCATGTTTCCATTTATAAGGACAGGCAAATATTTTAAAACTAGTTGTACATATTATGTGTGCCCAGAAAATGATCTGTTTACAGCACACAATGAAATGTTATGCAGCAGTTATTCCAAATACAACATTTGGATGGCAGGATAGTTTGCAGATCAGAGGCAAGCTGATTTGGACCTCTTAGGCCATTTGATAATTGCTAAATTAGTAATTAGGACTAATTTTGCCAAGTATAAACTTTATAGCTTTTTATAGTAAAATATAAATTATTTTTATACTTTATATTAAAATATAATTAAATATATGTTTTTAAAATCACAAAGATGTATCGCTGTTGCTGGTGATTTGGATTGCTTATTAAAAGATAAGTAGTTATTTCTGGATCCATTTTTTTTTTTTTTTTCCCCAATGTCTGAACTCATTCCATTGACAAATTGGCAATGAAGAATGCTGCTTTTCAAATAGGAGCTGAAATATCTGAAAGAGGAATCGAAGATGGGGTAGAAATTAAGGGTAGAGCTAAGCAACCCAGAAAGTGAAGAAGTCAGGTCCTGTCCTGCCCTAACATAAAAATACTAGCTACCAAGTTAATGTTCCAAAGGTGTGGGAAAGTAAACCCAAACTTTATAACAGAACATCAAGAGAAAATGTACACAGTAAGGATTTAAATTTGGGCAGAGCTCTTCACACAATGGATTGCAGCTTCCAAGAGAACAATCTGAACTTATCCCCAGAAAGTAGAAAGCTCGGCAGACGTTGCCAAAAAGATTGTGCTTGTATAAGCTAGCCCTCCTCCTTGCTCCATGCACCTAGCCACTCAGGATCTAAACAAATCAAAGCACCTCTTGTCCAGACTGAAGCCTCTATCTCAAGGGCAGCATATGCCACAAGCAGTGGTGGGATTCAGCCAGTTCTCACCATTTTGGCAGAACCAGTAGCTAATTTTTTGTTGCCCAGGCGCAGAATGGACTTCTGGAAGTGGCATCCACATAGAGAACCAGTTGTTCACATATTTGAATCCCACCACTGGCCACAAGTATGATTTTTGCACCCCCATCTTTGAAATCCGATTCAAAGTCCCAATGCAGATCCAAATGAGGTGCACTTAACTCTCAGTTAGGCCAGTGCATTCTGGTATTTATCTGTGATAACCTGATTAAATCTCTTAGCAAGGACAATATTCCTTAACTTCAAGTCTTAAGGCAGACCCTAAAAGCAGGGTGGGGTAAGTTAAAAAAAAAACTCTGAACAAGGTTAATCAGCAAGAGGAAGAGAAATATCTCCGATCTTCAACATGACCAACACATATGTTAAAAGAGGTAGGGAGTGGATGCTGCATCCTGCTTAGTGAAAAGGAAGGGAAAAGAACATTTGAGGGTTATAAAATCCCCAGGGAAGATCAGTTGTAGGTGCTCCAACTCAGGATCAGCCTCAGTTGTGCAGCACTGCACCAGACTTAGACTTCCCTAAGAACTCTCCCCTTGTTGCCATTTCTGAATGGGATCAAGGCATGAGACATGACTTTACTCATGTTTCAATAAACTGAAGCGGCAGGTGGACAATCTATAGCAGCTGAAGATGAGAGAATGCATTAGTTTCCATCCTATCCTATCAGAATAATCTAAAGCAGGGGTTCTCAACCTTGGCAACTTTAAGACTTGTGGACTTCAACTCTCAGAATTCCTCAGCCAGCTTTGCTGACTGAGGAATTCTGGGAGTTGAAGTCCACAAGTCTTAAAGTTGCCAAGGTTGAGAACCCCTGATCTAAAGGGAAGGACGAATATAGATATTTATCAACCTAAAATGAAGGCGATAAATTGTCCTCAGCTTATGACCACTATCGAGCCTACAGTTTCCATTGCTAAGCAAGGCAGTTAAGTGAATTTTGCCCCATTTTACAATCTCTGTTGCCACAGCTGTTAAGCAAATCACTGCAGTTGTTAAGTTAGCAACACAGTTTTTAAGTGAATCTGGCTTCCCCATTGGTTTTGCTTGTAAAAGGTCACAAGAGGTGATCACATGACCCTGGGACACCGCAACTGTCATAAATATGTTCTAGTTGCCAAGGGTCCAAAATTTGATCGTGTCACCATGGGGATGCTGCAACAGTTGTAAGTGCAAAATGGTCAGAAGCCACTTTTTGAGTGCCTTTGTAACTTTGAACAGTCACTAAATGAATGATTATAAGTTGAGGACTACCTGTATTTTTTCAGTCTCACCTATTGGAATTCCCACCAAATTTCCTCTGGACCTTTTGCAAACCCCAGTGATAAAACACAACTAAACAAATACCAATAAAAATGTAGTGAGAAGCCTTCTTCTATTAAGCATGATTTCTTCAATATTAAAAGTGTGAGCTTCAGTCTTCAGAATTCTCAATTCTGGCTGGTTGGCAGAAATGTAGGAAGCCCAAGTTTAAATACATACCCTAAAGGATATGGTGGATACACTTATTCCAGTACTAACAGTTGATGGAAAAGCAAAATTGGGAGACAAGCCTCTGGTTGAGTGTCAGGGGCTAAACCAGATCCCTCTTCCCAAAAGTTAATTCCCTTTATGATAGCCAAAGCTAAAATATATAGAACAAATCTTCAAAATCTCTGGAAGCAGAGACTTTTTATCAGCAAAAATAAGTAGCTGATGTACAGAAAATTCTTTTTGGTTTCCATTTTATTTGGTGGAAGGGCGCTTACAGAGGATAGGGTCTGAGGGACCATTTCTGCTGGAATTGATAATATATGAGATTAAATAATGTAGATTATGATACAAAAATAAAATCAGTTGCTGCTGAATTATGTATTGCACATTAGTTTTCATCTACAGTATCTCAGTTTCCATCTTTTACATTTGAACTCTATTATTATTATTATTAAAATTTTACAGTATCTTTCCTTTCCATAGATGGAATGTATATAGAGGAAAGGGAGTAGCTCAGTCTCATATTATTTTAAACAATTAGAAAAGCAAAACCATCCTTATCTGAGAACACGCCCAATCAGGACAACAAACTTCTCTCCTTTGTTAACTGATATTTTGCCTTCTATAGTCTCTGATAAAGAAAGTGCATTTTTTTTCATTTTCACTGTTGTCCATTCTACTCTGTTCTGCAAAAGATCTTCCATTTCGAGTTCAAGATCATTCAAGATAAAACTCATGTGATGTCTCTCTAAGTTATTTAAAATAACATCCCCTGAAATTCTATAATTTCACATATGAAGATTTAAATATTAATTCTAATTAGGCCTATAATAAGGCAAACATCTTTAAAACAATGCCTGTGACTTCTGTCTCATTGGATTCAACACACTGGACAGCTGTTGCTGGAATTTGCTTCCCTCTCTAATATCTTTCCTTTTCATCCCAAATTATCCCAGTATATTGTCACTATGACTGAAGTTAATTGAGTCTTCTGGAGTAACAATTAATTTTCCATATGTCCGATAGTATGGAAAATAGCCATTGGAAGAAGAGGGTAATTGATTCCGGATTAATATTTCTTCCAAGAGAAAGTTCTCAGAATCACCATAATCTATTGTGGAATTAGTGGATAAAAGAGTTTCAGTGAAATCAAAATTCTCAAGGCATTGGCCAGTATCTTCATTTGTTATACTGTTTTCCTGAAAGTCCTAAAAACAAAAGATGGACAAATTGTCAAAATGGGTTCTATGTCAACTAAAAATTAGTTCCTAATTTGTGTTTTAAAATTAAAATGTGACAGTCTTTCAAAAACCTATAGAAAGAATTACCAAACTATAAGTATCAAACCCATGTTGGAAGAAGACTGCTTAATTTTTAAATTGATTGAAAGAATTTGTGATAGTTATGAAAATTATTAAAATGTAATAACTACCAAATTTGAAAATAAAGAATTATCTGTAAAAATAATTAAATGCCTTAATTCCAATTCTCCAAGTGAATTAGAAAGTACACTTTTCATATTGGTAATTTTTACTTTTTCTTTGAAAAAAGGAGTTGTAATACAATTTTGCAGTTTTGCTGGCTGGAAATTCCAGAAGTTTTAGATGCAACACATCTGAAGATCATCATATTGGGAAAGTTACACCACTGGATCAAATATAAATAAGTTTTGCCATTCTCATGCAACTTACTGTATTAGCATATTCGGTCTCAGCATTAGAGACAGCTTCACTCCTTATTTTTTCATCATTGTTAGTGTCAGCCTCTTCATTCTTCTCTCTACTTTTAATTTCTACAGAGGGATTTGAGCTGCTCAAATATTCTTCATATGTTCTATAATATGGGAAATATTCAGTGTCGAGTTCTCTTTCATTTGAAGACTCTTCTTTGTGTTTTAACTTAAAAACACAGCAATTGCTTTGAACTCTGTTTTCTCCCTCTGGGCTCTTCTGGTTTGCTTCTGAATTTATGCAGGGAAAATTTTCCACAAGAATGGTATCAGTTCTATAATAAGGCATGTATTCAGAACAGGTTATTGAGTTGCACCTGACCACCAGATCATTAAAGTTTGTCAACTCAATATTGAAATCCTCAGTACCATCTTCAGCTGATAGGGGTAGGGGTTTTGAAGTTGCGGGATGGATTAACGTTGGAGTGCTTTCATTTCTTTCCTGAAGAATGTGGACACCATTCTAGAAGATATTGACAAATGAAGACAAAATTCTGTAACGCATTATTTCAAAGTGTGAAGGATGTTCAATGGGATGGAAAATGAGTTTAGGTATCATTTTCCCCTTTAGAAGCCAGAGGAAGTTTGGTTTAATGGTGAGTGCTTTCTTATAAATGCAGAAACTGACTTGGTTTCCTGGCACGGATGAAGGCTCCAAAATTAGTTGATTAAAGAGCCAACTTTCCTTCAGCTTTTATTAGGAATCACAGAATATACAATGCTTTATTTGCAATATACTACTGGTGCAGTTCTTCCTCTTCAGTGGAATTCTAGATATTCTATTGATTGGAAATTGAACGATATCAAAATATGATCTATTTAATTCTAATGGAGTTTATAAAAGAAATTGGAATCTTTTTTATCTTTCTCCTCAGTCCTTTATTTAGGATATCGTCCAAATATCATCTATGTTCATAATGTTGGAGAAAGGGAGACAGAGAGAAAGAGAGATAACACTGGAAAAAGTACACTGGAAAATTAAAGTAGAAGGACATATAACAATTCCCATTCATTCTGAAAGAGGCTATCATCTTTTGTCTGTTGATAAGTGTCAGTAAGATAATTCAATAAATAGGATGTACCAATTTTTGTGCAAGAAAGCAATAGTCAGAATAAAAATGAAGAAGGTATTAAATTGGACCCAGGGAGACCCCAGGTTATTCTCAGCCACAGGAGATCAGAAAGTGCCTTTGCAGCAGTCACTCTCTTTCAACCCAGCCTAACTCACAGTGTGATTAGTTGTGGGAAAACTTGAGAGAAGGGAATACTAAATATGCTACCTTACATTCCTGAAGGAAAAGCAGGATATAATTCTAACAAACAAATATTTAAAATGATGGTAGAGAAATTTTAAAAAATAAAGACCTTCTAGTTCTAATACGAATCAGAGAACATATCTCATACCTTTTTATTCTCAGTTTTCTGCCATGGAGAAATTCCATTTTTTGTTTGCCTCTTCATTAATTTGAACCTCATTTTTTTGCTATAGGCCTTTTCATGGATTATCACATTAGCTTCTACATTATTCTCCTTTTTCATCCTGACCAGCTTTAAGATGGACAAAAATATCAAAATAATATGATAATTTATTTATAAATCAGTGCAGCTTTAAAAGCCCAGACATTGTATATAACAATGTGCAGGTGGGTCCTCAACGTATGACCACAATTGAGCCCAAAATTTCTGCTGTTAAGTGAGACATTTGTTAAGCGACTTTTGCCCCATTTTACAACTTTTCTTGTGATTCACAGCTATTAAGTGAATCACCACAGTTGATAAGTTAGTAACAAGGTTGTTAAGTGAATTTGGTTTCCCCTTGATTTTGCTTGTCAAAAGGTTGCAAAAGGTGATCACGTGACCTTGGAACAAAGCAAAGGTCATAAGTATGAGTCAGTTGCCAAGTATCTAAATTATGATCACCTGATCATGGGGATAATACAAAGGTCATAAATGTGAAAAATAGTCATAAGTCACTTTTTTCAGAGCTGTTGTAACTTTGAACAGTCACTAAATGAATTGTTGTAAGTTGAGGGCTACTTGTATTGTCGAACTTCAAAGGACTTCCATATTGGAGCCTCCAGGATATTTAACATCTTTGCATATTCATCCCAACTGAATAGGAGTGTAGAAAGGATTGTGTCTGCTATTCTACATGGGATTGGAAAGTGGATTATCTCATTGTGAATTTATATCAATTGCACAAAATTAACGCTTGTACTGAGTGCTTAGTAGAGATCTGGGAGAAGAGTTGATCCTGTAGCCATAAGTCTTTCTTACAACCAAATCTGTTTAACTAACAATTATTTTGGAAATCCCAAAAGGTTTTCAGAATTTGGAAATCCCTAGTGCTGAATTTATTTATCGAATTTCTAAGCCACCAAACTGCAACATGATCCTAACTGGCTTCACAACATTAAAAAGCAAGAAGAAAGCAACATTATTTTAGAAAAGAATACAATTGCTCCATGGGGATAAATTTAAAAATGTCACTTTTTAAGCCATCTGGTTGAGAAGGTCGTAAGTGATAATATTCTATTGATGGACTCTGCTCCCAGTTAAGTGTGAACCTCATATAAGCAAGAGATATTAAGTGATATAAAGATTCAACAGAAGGACTCCCTCACTTCTCTCTCAATAGAGAAGGAGAACAATATGGTCAAACCAGAAGGCTTGTTAGCAACTAAAAAGTAAGTGTGTGTTTCATGAAATTACATCCTGCTACTTCAACCAAGGAATGTTTCTGGATTCAATTCTCAATCATTACTTGCAAAGCAGAAAAATATATAGCTATTGTTAACTCTAAATTAATTTCATGTTTCCATTTGTTGTTGCTCTTTCCAGGGCTCAGTTCAACCATCCATGGAAATGGTGGTTTCTGAATGCAAAGCAGTCCAAATAGGATATTATAGATTTCCATTTTTCCACCAAGTGTGCATAAATCTATTTATGGTACTGTATTATGTATTGCTCATTTATTTAAAATAGTTTTGCCCATGCGTTTAAACATTATTCCATAATTCCATAACTTTTTCCAGGATACTTCATTTGTTTAATCCAGTTTATAATTTTTCCCTGCCTTACAAAGATTTCAATATTCTGAAGGCATGCAGGGAAATTAGATTCTTTAGTGCCTTCCTATCCACGTCAAAAGTGTATTTGCAACGAAAGCAAGTCACAGTTTACCACTTTTCAAATATTCCCATTGATTTAACCTAGCAGATATTTCAATAAGTGTTTAATGGGCTCAGTGTTTCTATGGTAGTTATTATGTTTGCATACGAGAGTGCTTAAATAATCTGAACGCTAAGAAACGTGCACAGCCTCAATGCATTTTTAAATCATTTACTAAGTTTCTATATTATTTTCTAAGTGGTAACAAAATGAATCTGATCTTCTTTCGGCTATAACAATAATTGGAATATATCACTGTATTTTAGAGGAGCACTGAAAGAACTTTTTTTTTCTCAAATAGGATTTGATTTGAAAATTTTTACCTATACCTGTTCCTAAATAACTCTTTATTTTCCCTACCAATTATAATTTTTGGAGCAGTATTTCATTGAAGACTGTTTCAATTAATCCTGTAAAGATTTTAGTATGCAGTACAAACTCACACCTTTAAAGTTTATCATGAGATGAAGACATTAAAAAAGTATCTCAGCTCAAGGGGTTGGGAAGTGTGGTAAGAATCTAATCACATATCTTCATTTCATTTCTTTAGAGAAACCTTAATTATCTGCCTCAAAATTTTGTCCATAAATCATATGCTTTAGAGATAAGTAGGTAGTCTCTTTTCATGCTTACCTTCTGTTTAAACCACAACCTGAGAATAATGGAAAGATACAGCTGTGACATCAAAGGAACAGTTTGTACTCTTGTGTGAGGTCATAAATAAGATTCCAAGAGAGTTCTAAAGTGACTGGTGTCAATAAGTTGAAATAATGTTGATGGAATTGATTGGTTTTATTTCCTTTCAGCTTTTATGTACAGGAGCATTTTTATAACAGGAACTCTCCAATGTTATATTCTTCTTCTGGAACCATTATTTCTTACCATATTGTTCAAGAGTTGAGATTTTAAATTTCTTTCTACCCTGTATTTCAAATTAAGAGATTAAAATTTTTTAAAGCTATTATTTTCTTTCATCTTATGTTCAGATTTAGGTGCAGTATTCTTATAAAAGTAATGCACAAATATTTATGTATCAAACTTGTATGCTGCCCTTCTTGCTGAAGGCAACTAAATGTATTTGTCCAAAATATATTTGTCCAATTATTCAGAATTAATCGAAAGCTGATTTTTAATGTAGCAAACCCAGATGTTGCTGAACTAGCAAGTTCAAATATGGTTAACATGTTAGAGGAATGCTGGGTATCGTAGTTCAGTATCACTTGGACTATAGGTCCTCTGTTCTACCTAAATTTTATAATGGAGAGATCATTAGCTTCAGAAGCTTCTGTAGAAGGCTTACAGAAAGACAAGACAATGGTTTTTAATGCATAATCACAGCCACCATCTTAAACTTTTAAAACTCTCCCTCTAGTCCTTACATGATCCTAACTGACTTGGTCTTTGATGAACTGGGTTCAAAGTTTCATAGACAACTATTGAATAGTAGGCAAGAGATAGTTTTTTAAAAAAAACCTTTAATATTTTGCTACCATTTAGTGATTACCCAATTTGTGTAGCCAAGATCTTAATATTGTTCTAGTAAAATACGCATCCCCCCCACACACATACATTGCTGTGTGATAACAACATGCTAAATAACTTCCTCCTATTACAACTTTGCCCTGGGATTGTCCTGCATGTTCCAAATTAACAGCAGAGAGTCTGCTTCCTATTAATAAATTTGTGTGATAACAAACTTCCCACTCTAATCTCAGTTAGATAATTATTTCCCTCTTTTGTTTTTTTCCCTTGCACGAACATAACATATCCCCAAACCATGCACAAAACAGCTAAACCTTTATAAATGTTTGAAAGCTCAAGCTCTGGGAACCCCAGAGATAGGGACAGCAATGAAGAAGAATCTTGACTGATTGAGTTTGGATGAAATCAACAGCATTAATGGTAACAATCCTTGTAGACATTTAAAAAAAGAGTGTTGGGCCATCTGTTCTTTTAGACTATAAGCACGTCTCTTTGGATACCATTCTAATCTTGCTATATGCTCTGCTACCTTTGGACTCTGGTGTAGGAAGTGGAGGATTCTAAGCCAGAGGTCCCCAACCTTTTGGGCACCAGGGACTGGTTCCGTGGAAAAAGGTTTTTCCATGGACCAGAGAGTGCATGGTTTTGTGTGTTGCCTGCATCCCACAGATGGGGCTTTGCTTGTTTTTGCAGACTGGTTGCTGGCATGCCGTGGCCCAGACAGAGGGTTGGGGACCCCTTTTCTAAGCGGCTAACCTTTAAATTTTCCTACTCCTGATCTTCCTGGAAGTTACATTGTTCTGTGTAATGGGGCCAGTTACATGGCAGGCTGAACTGGAAACTTTTCTGATGCTATTAGCAGGTTCCATGGAAAGAGATGAATGTGGGAGAGGACGAGTAAAGTGTTGTTTTTTTTCATGAAATCCAAATTGGAAAAAGGATTCAGTGATATTAATTCTCAGCCTCATATTTGAAAGAAAATACTATGAGTTGCCATTATCAAGCTGACTTTAGCATAGAGAAAAGACAGAAAAGACATCAATGTCCAATTTTCTTTTCTCCTTCTAAAATCTTCAGTCCATGTGTCTGCATTTCTGCAAGTGAGAAAGTATGTTCTGGCTTATTTGCAGCAAAGAAATGGCAGTAGGGAAAAGAGAGCAATGCACATGCACCAATATTATCTTCTTTGATTCCTAGGACGCCTCCTCACTATACTATTTTATTAGGGCTATTGTATCTGGACTGCATGAATCTGTACGACCACTAGGTAGCAGGAAAGAATTTGAGTTTTCTGTAACTCTTTACTGCCATCTGTTGGTTGACAGGATTTTTGAAGTCCAGATATGATAACTCTAAGTATGTCACATGAGTACATGCATTTAAGGAGGATACAGTCAGCTTCCTCTCCTGCAGTTTCTTTCTGAACTTTCTCTTTCAAGCAGATGCAGAAAAGTGTCAGAAATCTTTTATGAAAGTCCTGAGCTGATTTTTTTTTTTTTTTGCACAACACTTTTGAAATTAGCCCAACAGCCAGATAAAAGCAGCCGAAGATTGCATGTGTTCTAGACAGTAAAGAAAAATCAGAAGCAATAGATAGGCTTCCTTTGGGGCAAATACAATTATTGGCTGTTAACTTTTTATAATAAACATATTATTGTTGTCTGTCTTTAAACAACACATAAAAATACAAGAAACACTGAACAATTGTATTTGTAAATGGAATAAATCAACACCTGTTTTCTCCAAAATTATAGTTATATGGGTTAATAAAATAATGTTAAATAAAGGTTATTCTGCAAAATTTATCAAGGAAGCATACTGTACTAGAAGAAGGGAGCACCTTCTGAAATTTTTTAAGCGCCCTCTTGTTCCTTTTAAAACATGGTTGTCATTAAGTCTCTAAATCCAGGTGTTTTTCTTCAGGATAGAAATATGGGAGTAATCTCTCTCTAGCCAGCTGTGATAGTTTTTCTGGCTTAAACCATTTGTTTAAAACAAATGTTTTCCTTATTATCTTTCTTTAAAATATATGTATGTAGGCTTATAATTTTCTATAGAACCCATACCATCTGTTTTGCTTTATGAGTTCTTATATAAATCTTTTTTTAACAGATAATCAATTTTCTTCTATATGAAGTCCATCATTTAAAGTTAAACCACTCACAACATATAGAAATGTAGGGGAAACTTGTTCTTGTTGGAAAATGTCATAGTGTCTGGCACAAAGTCATTGTAAGCAAGGATACCCGTTATGGATTATGCTCATTCCAAAAAGTACACATTGTAAATGAAGCATAATTTGAAAAGCAGGTCAGATCCTACGCAAGGAATGACCTGCGGTAACATTCAGATGTACTAGAACCTGAGAGAAGGACACTTTATATCTCAATATCTTCCTCATCATAAGCTTCCTTTTTTGATTATGATAACTATGACACTGGTTGCTAACAAGACTGGTGTTGTGAATATCTTGACCTTTTTACCTAACTGGACTATATATTCTAACAATGAATAGAGATGGAATTCTAACTCTACAAAATGATATGAGCAGTTTGCTTAAAAAACAGATTCAAACAACAATTGAACAAATTGCAGTTACAATTTACACACATACACACATCATTCTATTCCTTTTTAAGGTATACCGTGTTATGTAAACCACAGAACAGAAATAAAAGCATTTAATAGAAAAAGAAAAAAAGACACATCTATATTTAATTTACCCCCATTCATCTCTGTCTCATTATCCCCATTATCTCTGCTTCCACAGTGTATTGGTGGAACAATTGTCTTTTGTTCTTTAAACTTCATATCTCTATCTTCTGTAGGGCCTTACCGCCTCCATTCCCATCCTCAAAAGATTTTTGTCCTTTTCATTTTCCAGATCTATTCATTCTTCAGATATTATGAAGGCCCAGGGTTGCTTTATGGGTGAGATGGGTGGCATATACTGTAAATGTAATAAATACATATACTTTGCTGTTCAGTCCCTATTCACTCTGTGTAACTAACTACCTCTAGTTTCTGCTTTTGTGTCAATGACAAACGCCATTCAAAAATCTTATCAAGGGATAGTCCGCATTGACCTCAGCTACTAAAAGTCAATACTGACTCAAAGGCATGCTTGCACGGACACACAGACAACCTCCTAGAACTAGAAACAAGGACATGATCAAAATTAATTGTAGATAAAAGGCCAATACAAAAAAAAAGTCAACTAAACAAATGACCATTCCTGACCATATTTTTAGAACGTTTATTTGTTAAAGGACTTTTCTTTAATGATTCTTTTAAAAGCTCTGTTTGATTCTCTTTCAGAGACAATTGAGATGCGCCTGCATTTGCATCAAGTGATTTTAATAGAAGAAGGGGACGACAGAGAATGAGATGGCTGGATGGAGTCACTGAAGCAGTAGGTGTGAACTTAAATCGACTCCAGAAGATGGTAGAGGACAGGAAGACTTGGAGGAACATTGTCCATGGGGTTGCGATGGGTCGGACACGACTTCGCAATTAACAACAACAAATCTTAATGGATCAAATTAATATATGCCTATACTCAGGACTTTTTTTCTCATAGAACGCCCAGAATGGAGTTCTGGCACCTGTTTTGGATGGAACCTTGTAGGATAGGCAAGGCAGGTTGTATGACGTGTGTGAGTTCTGGCATCTTTTTTTTTTTTTACCAAAAAATATCACTACCTATACTAAGGAAAACTCTTACAAAACAATGTTAACCAGGCTAGTCTACTCTAGACCTTGTAAGTCAAGTGGTAGAAAAAATATTGTAGAATAGCTACTTCTCAAGAAGCATTTTTGTAGTGATGGCCTGCTGGACATACAGTACAAAGTTTGATTTTTTTTTTTTTAGTGCTACAATTATTATAAAAAGGAAGATCCTACAATGTTGAGCTCAACTCCATGCAGTGCTCAACTCCATGCAATAGCATCCATGCAGTGCTCTCATCAGCATTACAGAAGTGGTTTGCCATTTTATTTTTTATTATGTTTATTTTGTTTATGCATGTATGTATGTGTGTGTGTATGTATGTATTATTTTATTTTATTTTAATTTGGATTCCCAGTCTAGCCAACAACCCTGGTCTCCCATCTAAGTACTAATA